TGTGCTGAATCTCTCAGAAGGGTCTCACAGCCTTGCTAAATTGAGCCTGTGGAGAGGAAGGGGAAGGAAGAGCTATTCCAGCAAGTCCAAGTAGCTGCTTTCTGTTTCCAGTGGTTATCCCTGCAAAGGCCTTTAATTGATTTACCTTAATTCCACTCTGGCACATAACTGAGAGGCACAGCACAGAACCCACAAACACAGGTTTCAAACCCTTTATGTCTTAATCTCATCAAGGCATGTGTATTTTCTATCCTGAAGAAGCAACACCATGAAAAGAGAAGTAGTTCTTGCCTGTTTGTAAGCTCCCTATTTTTCTTTCTAGTGCCTTTTTCACCTTGTTGCTGTCAACAGCATGGAAGCCCAGCCATCTGGCACTCTAGAAAGCAGCTTTTCAATAGGTGCTGTGCTTGTCATTCAGCAATTGCACATCTCTAGTCTCCAGTTTTACTACAGGCTGCTTCTAATACAGATTAGATTTGTGGGGATCTATGAGAATCAGACTTCTGCAATGCCTATACGCTGTTTAAGTCCTGCTCTACCTGGAAGTAGGGCCTGAGCAGAAATTAAACACTGGGTAGATCCTCTACTTAGTCCTCTGACTGTCTCTAGCCTTTTAACATTTTCTGGTCTTTATTTATTTTATTTTTTTTAAACAGGAGACTTTGCACCTGGAAAACATAATGGACAGTGACACTTCACTTTGATTTTTTTTCCTTATCACACAGGATATGCTGCCTATGCCGGGGGATCCTACCCAGGGTACTGGCAATTACAACATTGAAGATTTTGCTGATTTGGGCATGTTTCCACCATTTTCTGAGTAATTCACGAAACAGGAAGAAAAGCCCTCTGACATGCAGTTCTGCAAGACCATTTCAGTGTATTGTTGGCTCTGCTTTTTCTGTGTTGCATTACTTGTAGAAGCTACTAAACAAGAAGTCACGTCTCTCATGTTTCAGATAGAGATGTAGGAGCTCGCTTTCTCCTCCTTTCAGGGCATGACTGCTGCCAAGGGAGAGACAGGACTAGTTGGTGCCCATTGACAGATCCATATTTTTATTTTCTTGCCATCTACCTCAGAGATGAAAAACTTTGCTTGATTGTGAAAAATCTCTGAGTCTTAAATATTTGAATGTGAATGATCGCTAGTATTCCCTTTTGAATGGTAATTTTTAACTAGATAATGAAGTAACAAAGACTAACAAAGTGAAGGTAAGGTAACGTCGTGTTACAGTGCCAATTTTTCCATTTCAATGCCTTGCTTTCAACTTAAGTTTCTGGAAACACTTCATATTCTCATTTTGATTCCTGTAGTTTTTAAGGCCAGCTTGAATGTGTGATTATACAGCATAATATAATCTTCTCTGACTGGAAGATTCAGCGCCTTTTTTATTTTTTACTTAACCCAGTTAAACTTGAATGTGTGTACATTTTAGTACTGTATATATATCTTGTGCTGTATTAAGTGATTTCCTGTACTGGTTTCTTTTGACCTATGAAATGGTTGATTCTGGAGTGTTCTAAAAAGGGTAACACTACATGGGGGGATTCAAACATCGTTGCATTCTCAATCACTTTACCTGTTAACTCAGGTAATTCTGATGTAGCCCATACATTTACTTACACAAACTCTTACTCCTGTTTTTGCACTGCTAAATGAGGCCTATTTTTCTATAATTTTCTCATGAGCTGCTCTTTTTTTTTGTTGTTGCCTTTAGCTCTTACATTCCCTGAGAGAATTGTTTGTAAAAATTACTATAAAACATATCAAGAATATGATTTCCGCACAAGCTACATTTCCTTTCTGTGAACTTTTTTTTTCATACTGTGAAATGTCACATTTTTACAGTCACAAATGATGACCTGTTACAACAAAATCCTTCAAGCTCATTTCCAAGAGCAATAAGCCACTTTGTTCCGTTGTCGCACAGTGCTGTTAAATCTAATTTGTAGCAGGTATCAATCAGGTTGGTACCTGCAGTGAAGTTAACTTCATTTTTTGCTTGCATTCTGACTTGCTCAGCATCTCCCTGTTTTGGCAGGTTTTCAATTTTGCTGATCATTTAAAAGAATTGACCTCAGTGATGCATGTTTCTCTGTGATATTACGGTCTGTGACTTCAGTTTTGCTGGCTGATGTCCCTGTCCATCTAAAATTTGCTGGACATTCCTTGTGTGTGTGTGCACATGTACACTTCTTGATTACAGGGACCTTAGAAAAATGACGATTTAAGACCAAGCAATCCTTATTTGGGAGAAAAATCATCCAGGGACAACAAAATAGTTCAGCATTCACAGTCATGAAGTTTTTGTGACAACCTTTGAGGTGTGAGAGGTTGCAGGCAGTCCTCTTGGAAAGGAAGAGGTGCCAGCTGCCTGAACTGGTGAAAGTATTAGGATTCACACTGGGTCTCTAGACCCAGGAGGCCAGAGTGAAATACCTAACAACAATGTGTTTCCACAGTGATTTCCCCACACATGCACTACCATTTGCCTGGCCCCTTGAGGCTGACTCTCAGTCTAGAGGTACCTTACAGCAGTCCTTACTAGGTCAGAAATATCTCATGAAGGGAATCCCTGAAGTCTCCTAGATAGACAGTGCCATAAAGAGCAGCGCTGTCTATAACCCGTGGCCCAATCTGACCACGTAGGTTTTGTACGGAGACCTATGCTCTTCAGTTTGATCAAAACCAACTTCTACAGACTTTCTGCAGCTGGCTCCCTTCCCCCCCCTATTTCACTGCACTTAGTGTAGCAGATAATACAGTAACCAGTGAGAGTATTTCCTGCCATTTTTCTCTTCATTTAATTCTCTGGGATCAATCCTGAGCCCTACATGCTAATGGGGGGACTTCTTCATTAAAAAAAAAGACTCTAGTTCAAACCTAAATCAAGTATTACAGAGGCCTCAGATCTCTGGTCTAGGCTTGCCTGACCAAAGTTGTAATTATTTAAAAATGGGTACGTCTTCTCCAGTTCCAAGTCAGGAGGGGAAGTTCTCACCTAGCTGAATAAACCGTGCACTTAAAGTATATTTATTTTAATACCTGGATATGTATTCCCTTGAAGCCTTCCCACTCCATCTGCACTGCTTGAATAAAGAAGTGTTACTGAATCAGCCTAAAGCTGCTCCACTCTGTAGTGAGCTGATCAGTGGGATTCACTGACCTCAGTAAAAGATGCTTGCGCTCCACAGGTGGTTGCTCAGGTGAGGTGAGATATTTGCATCTGGACAGTAGAGAGTAACAGGAAAAGGAGGAATAGAGAATCCTGGGTGTGCAACAGATGTCATCATGGGGGAAGAGAGGGTGGACTTTCAATTTCTATCTCTGTACATAATGCACTTGACATGATGATAAACTCTGTACTTTTAATGTTTGAAAGTTACGTTTCTCCGTAAAGTGAGAAATGAATGGAAAAACTGTTTCTATGCTGTAATCTTCCTGACACATTGTTCTAAGTATATATATGTATAAATTTACATATGTTCCTGAATTCAATTTAAAAGTTTCTATTTATGAAAATTGCTTTTCTTTTCCCAGTCCCAGGCCAGTTCAGTTTCTCTATGTATCATTGTCCTTTTATAGTACACCCATGTAGAAGGGGGCTTATCGTATTCTATATTTGATAGTGCCAGTAAAAAAAATTTTTGACTAAAAAAAGTTCAAGCATGTCAGGTGTTTTGCAAGCAGAGCATTGCCCATTTGAAGCCAGTATACCTAGCCCTACTTGGACTGCTTCTTGTCCAGTATCCCTTCTGGGCACAAAAGGTAATTGCTATAGTGTTAAAGGCCAGTCTTGGAATAGTGTTAGGCTTTCTCCCATTTCTTCACTTTGAGGCATTATAATTCCCTTTTTATCTTCTGATATACTGAGCCAGTGCTTTCTCCACTCTCCTTGCCTGCCTGCCAGATGATCCCTCTACCTACAGGATATTTATAGCACTTTCCCTCTGATGGGAGGGCAGGTGTGGAGAGTGTTTTTTCTGAGGGTGCAATGAAGCCAGCAAGAGGGGAGCACTTAGAGAGCATTATGACTGGCAGCCTTATTGAGACCAAGCAAATAGGCAGCATTCACAGTTGCATCTGCGTTTACTGCCTTACAGTAGCAAGTGCTGCCTTCATAGTGCTGAGTAGCTCCTGTGGAATATTGTCGCCTCAGTCCCATTCTTGCCGTAGCTAGAGTTGTTTAGCATTTAGCTGAGCTACACTTTTTTGTTGCATATTTTGATGATAGTAAAGCAACATGCATATGTAATTACTGAAGTGATGGCATTTTTATTTTGCAGTTAGTGCAACTGCTGCAGCACTTCTGCTGTCAGTGAGTTAGAGTTTGCAGATTTCTTGTGCAGACAGTTTTATTCTCTGCATGTAAAGTTGTGACTTCTGATCAGATTGTACTGCAAACTCTATTTCATAAAAGAGTGAGAAATATATAGAACTGAAGCATTCTGCTTTTTACAGATTGAAGGAGTAGCTACACACAATACTTCAACAACCTGTTATTTCAGTTAGTTGGCATAGACTGAGACCATTTTAGGATACTGAAGTCTTTACTTATTCATACAATTAATCAAGTTTATTGACTGCATATTTAACTGGAGTAACTCCATGGCATTCATTGTTATTGGCACTCCTGATGGTGCCTCCTAACCAGAAGTGTCCATAAGTAGTTTTGTTGCCTTCTTTTTCTTGGAGTACATTACAAAACTGTAAATACTTTTTGCAGTACTGCCTTTTTAACTCCTAATTACTTTGGGCGCAGTGTTATATAGTGTTGGAATTACCCAATTGCTATGACATATATTTTTATACATAGGTGTACTCTTTTTTTGAGAGTAGTACAGCCATTTAATCATTAATGCCTTATATCAGTGTCATACCGCTGTTGCTCTTTGTTTGGTTTGTCTGTGGGATATCCAGTGGACTAATTTTTAGGTCAAATATTTTCACTTTCATAACAGTGCTCAAGTTGGATTAATAGGAGCATGT